CTGAGATGAAACAACATTGAAGCTGCCTGAAGCGAAGAGTGTGTGAGACTCTGACTCTCCCAGCCCAGACTATTTATACTTTGTCTCTCTCTCAGTCTTCGAGTTCTCTCTTTTTGTCTTTTTTTGTGTGTGTATATATACATATATATATATATACATTAACCCATTAAATAATTACATATATATATTCTAAAGGAGAACAAAAGAAACCCCTTTGTGTTCACACTTGCATCCCTCAAAAAAGCTGATGTGTCAAGCTCTCATGCAGTTTCAACTTGGTGTTCACATTGTGTAATCACACTGCGTGTCATGCCAATTTAAAAAAAAAATACATAATAAGTTTTTAATTAAATCAAAAATTGAAATCGACGAGACATATAATTAATGACCCACTATCATTTTTACATTGGAACCTGTAAGGTTTTTAATTGTTGTATTGGAAGATGAAAAGTTGTTTACTAAGGTTATTTCAAAATGGAAAATCCATTGAATGGTACTTCTCAAATAATGCATTTAGTTTGTTATAAATAGGGAAGTGTTGTTTCTTCTTTTTTGTCTTGCCTGTTTTTTTCGGTCATTCACGTGTGTAGGGATTGTTCTATCTGTATTAATTTAATCATCCATTAATCACAGCATTGCTCATAATCAAAGCAATAAGATAATCAACAAACCAGAAATGGAGGAGAATACCTAACAACGTTCCTGTGCTTCAGTTAGCGAAATCTCGCGAATGGTGGTGCTTGGAACCCTTCGTCCTCGTCGGTGTTAATTTTCTTGAGCGCGATGGTCTTGTTGGTGACGCGGTCGCGACACTTGTAAATGACACAGTAGCTTCGTTTCCCTATCTTTTTAATCTTCTCATACCTCTAAACCAAATTTCACAAACAAGGAAAAGAATTGGCGCCCGTTGTAAGAGTAACTTAAACCAGAAATCAAAAACGCGTTGCACTAACCTGTTCCTGTTCCATGGAACATGTCTCGTTTGAAAGGGAAGACATTGAGTGGGGAATTTGTGGCGGAAAAGGAAGATCTGAGAATAAACAAAGTTGAAATTATTAAGCCTATTAATAATATTTATTATTACGTCTATCCTCATTACTTAATGTATGAGAAATTGTTAAGCCTATTAATAATATTTATTATTACGTCTATTCTCATAACATTTATTATTATGTCTATTGGGTTAAAAAATATTTAATTTTTAAAATTCAAACTTTATATATTAGAATTTTAAACTTAATAGGTGTTAAAAGAGTTCAATATTCAATATTTCTGTAGTGAAAAAAAAAAGATATATATAATATATTTAAATTTAATATAATATATTATTGATTAAACGAAATAAAATTAAATTATAAAAATATATGTATAGTAGATAAAAAATAATTCAAATTTGAAATTTAAATGAAAAAAATAAGAAATGACAAATTTATACTTTAAAAGAAAATAAATAAAAAAATTAAACTTAAAAAAATAATAAAAAAAGTGAAATATTCTCCTAACATAATTTCAGGCATTTTTTAAAAAAATCTCAATACAACGTTATTGCAGCACTATAAATTAAAAGAGAAAAAAATTAATTTTTTAAAAAAAATACATAATTAATATAAAAGAATTTAAATTATAAATTAAATAAAAAAATAAAAAATAACATCAATAATTCTGTAAAAATGAATTATAAAAATTTAATCACTATAAAAATATAAATTTTAATTCAATATATACGAAAGAAATTAAGCTTTCATTCTTTTGATGTAAGAGTATGATTAACTCAATTTCCTATGTCGTGAATGAATAACTATAAGCTATTACTTGGAGAATATACATAAATTTCTATGCATGTTTTTCGCTACTTTCGGTATGGAAAATTGTTAAGCCTATTAATAATATTTATTATTATGTCTATTGGGTGAAAAAATATTTAATATTTAAAATTCAAACTTTTTAAATTTGTATTTTTAACTTGATAGGTGGGGAAAAAATTCAGCATTTAATGTTTCTGTAGTGAAAAATTTATATATATATATATATATATATATATATATATATATATATATATATAGAATTAAATTTAATATAATAGTTTTTAGATTAAACAAAAAATATTTAAAATTAATAAAAATAATGTATAGTTCATAAAAAATAATTTGAATTTTAAATTTAAATGAAAAAAATAAGAAATGACATATTTATAATTATTTCGGTAAAACTTTTAAAAAATTAATATGCTTTAAATGTGAATAAACTATTGAAATTCCAAAAACATCTCATAATAAAGGAAAATAACTCTTGAAATTGTGCAAATAACCTATAACTCACATTTCTGCCATTCCAACAAATGCAAAATGCAAAAAGTTTCAATTGAATTGAACGGTCCCCGTGGGAAAATGATGAAGTTAATGGTAATGGGATTACGTGTGATTTTTGCAAGGCACAATCGCTTCGTAATAATAAAAATGATACATAACTCTGTTTTTCTAGTTCAACAAAAAAAATTCAACAAACCAATTAATTTTTTTTTCTCGTACATCGCACGAATAATATACTAGTTGTATAAAAAATAATAATTGTTCATTTCATTGCCTCTAAAGTCAAAAAGTAGAGTGAAGTTTACCAAAAAAAAAAAGTAGAGTGAAAATGCTTAGTTCGTTGCTAAGTGGTACCGCAGTGGCAATAATTTTAATTTATTTTTAATTTTGATTGTGGAGTTATACATTCACAAGCAATTAATAAAAACAACTAGATATTGATGAACTTTCATCAAGACAAGAAGTAAAATTCTTCTTTCAAAATTATTTTATGTTGAAGATCAATATGCAAAATTCTGAAGGTAGCTAATCATTTCATTCTTGAATCTTAAAAGGTCTAACTGCTGCAATAGAGAGAGTACATATATATAAATTACCCCTAGTTGATGACTAAAGTTAAAACAATTCAACTACACAAACTTTGTCCGTCAACATTGCATTCCACCAAAAAAAGTTCCTAAGAAAACAGAAATGCCCCCAAATTTCTGTCTAAATGGCCTTGATTAGTTTTTTCCTACCCCTTTTTTCTGGAGAATTCACAGCAGTCAGAAGAACAATCTCCTCAACAACTCTGAAAATGTTCACATCCAAGATAAATGTGTCGTTGATTTGGCCTGCTGGTGTAAACACACAAACATCATACTCTTCAAGGTTATTTTCCAAGGAAAAACGTTTCCACCCACCAAGAAGTCCTCCCATTTGACGAAAATTACGAAAGTTGTATCTGACAGTCCATTCAGCATTACCCATGCGTAATATCACATCTTGAGATCTTGCAGAGAGATGTTCTATTATCCACTTATTAGGGATTGACTAGCCAAAACAAAAGGAATACATTTAATAACAATGACTAAAATTACAACACAACAGCAGAAATTTTCACAATAAGGCTTTTTAGCAGAAGATATAAACATCAAAACTAAGTTTAAAAGTAAAGATTGGAAGACAATTGTTTACCACGAAGAATCTCCTGTATACGTGTGTCGGTCGCATAACTACGTACAAGCTGTCAATGGAACATGTTTCCTGGGCCAACTGGAGGGCATTTTTCTTCTCATTTTCTGTGACAGGTCTTCTATTTGAGGTATATAGTTCATTTGTCACAGTTTTAGCCACAGAATCAAGTTCAGATTCTACATATGTGATCAACATAACATGCCATATCAACAAACAGTCTAAATATTGACTCAAACAGAAATAAAAGTATATGCAAAGAACCAAATCCTAAAGAAAGAAAAATAATTGTTTTCAATTCAGTTATTCTTTTTTATCAATTTTGCTAACTGGGAAATCCGAATGTCTTAGATTAGATATAAAACTGCAGTTAAGTGCCACAACACTGGATTAAAACAAGTAGACAAGAAGACTACGCAGGCAATAATGACTATCAAATCAATGTACTGCCCAAGCACAAGATCAATCAGTCCATATTTGTTGTAGAGTTCAGTGCACATAACAAATCTCAACAGCCAACTTCTACCCAAATATCTCTCCCCACACAAGCTTGTCATGTCTTTTATTATTATTCTTATTATTAGTACTACTATACTTCTGCTCCCCATACATGCACACCTTCTCCTCCCACTTTATGCCATTACCTATCTGTATTATGAGAAAAAAAAAAACTCTAAAGTGAGTTTGTTTTCAAGTGTACAAATAAAAATATATCCATACTAATTTAGTTTAAAGCACAAAGTGATATTAACTCACTAAAAACTCTGTACTTTAGAAACAAGCTTATCCATGTATTTGGAGTTGGAAACCTTTGAAAATGTTGTGGCTATCTAAATTAAAAATTTGTCACAAAATAATAAATTTTATGGATTTAAGCTGTTTGATGATAAAATATGTTCATAAAACAGCTGTAAAGATATTTCTTTCCCTTTTTGACGAGTAAATATGTTACCAGTCTCCCAGTTAAGTGCTGTATCATGAGAATTGGATACTTTTGGCAGTTTTCCTCTCTGCTTAATCTGGACCTGTTTAACAGCAGAAACTACCTTCCTGGTCCTTTTACCGTTAGGTTGGGAGGGAACAGCTGCAGGCTCGGTAAATCCATCAGCCATGACTTCCTCAGGGCAAGCTGATTCAACTCCAGCATTGAAAGTTTTTTCAGTAGGAGTTTCCAAGGGTACAGCTAATGGCACTTTGTCACTGTTAAGATGCACATATTTTTTAGGATAAGCACATTCAACACCAGCATTGAAAGTTTTTTCAGTAGGAGTTTCCAAGGGTTCAGCTAATGGCACTTTGTCACTGTTAAGATGCACACATTTTTTAGGATAAGCACATTCAACACCAGCATTGAAAGTTTTTTCAGTAGGAGTTTCCAAGGGTGCAGCTAATGGCACTTTGTCACTGTTAAGATGCACATACTTTTTAGGATAAGCACATTCAACACCAGCATTGAAAGTTTTTTCAGTAGGAGTTTCCAAGGGTACAGCTAATGGCACTTTGTCACTGTTAAGATGCACATATTTTTTAGGATAAGCACATTCAACACCAGCATTAGAAGGGGTATTAACTTCTTTCAAGGAATTATCTACATCTCTTCTCTTGCTGAAACATCCACCCCAATCTTCAGCATGCCCACATTTTCGAACAAAATAAGAAGCTGCCTTCTCACAGTAGCTCTCCCCATCAAATATTAAAACATCAAACAAAGATTCACCATTGTACTTGAAGACAAGGAAATCATTCTCTTTCAGAGAGTGATCCTTCACAAATTGTTGCCAACCATTCGTGAAGTACAAGGTATCATCTCTAGTCATCAATCCTATATTCCACACAATCCCACCAGGACCTCTAAGGGTCACATTTCCTGGCAGCTTCTTCTTTAAATTATCTGAAAATGTTTTAGGGAGTGCCTGGAATCAAAATTTAAATTTCATCAATGAGAATAAGATACAATAGGACATTGGTATATATAAAGAACCAATTCAACCCAAAAGCTTAAGCTGTTGGGTGAGGCTACATTAATGGTTTTATGTATCTCTAACACGCCCCCTCACAAGAGAGTTCATTGGGCTTGAAAGGTGGATGATGCATTAGGCCCAGTCTACCTGTGCTAAGAAATTCCACATAAAAAATGAGGGTCGGTGAGGATCAAACCCGGGACATCGAGACTTTGATACCATGTAAAGAATCAATTCAACCCAAATGCTTAAGTTGTTGGGTAAGGCTACATCAATGGTTTTATATATCTCTAACAGAATAAAATATACATGTAAGACTAATCATAATCATTTGATTGAGAAACAGCCACTAATCATCTCAAGTATAGCTATTAGCTAGCAATTTCTGAACAAGTAACAGAATTATAAGCCAAGAACAACCACATAACAATCTCCTTATTCACTCTCTTTTCTTTTCCTTTTGGTCCCTCTTACCCTCACCAAAGAAACATCTACAAACATTTCCACGCCCCACAATCATTATCATATTAAGGTGCATGCACGCTTCCTCTATTGCAATGTAAGCTTAGAAAACAAACCCCCAAAAAAACCCCAGGCCTACCAAAACAAAGTGCCTCGAAAGCAAAGCACAGATCAGAACAGAACAAAGGCTGCACTGGTTTCTTGAAGTATTCAGGTCACAAATTCTAAGTCATCAACTTCAAAAAAATAAATGATAATAGATAAAGGAATAGTAAAAGGGTTGATTGTTTCTCGTAGTTATAAGTTTATCTCCTACACACAAAAATATTTGGGGTCATATTTTTTACTTTCTCATTCTTCTCCTCGTACCTCGTATTGGCCCACACACATCCATCTATTTTTATGTGTGTATAAAAGATCAAAGAAACAAGGTTAAAAATGTGAAAAAAATTAGAGGACAAGTTTAAATATTTGAGAGTAATGGGAAGAAAACAAAGGAAGAGGCAAAAGAGTGTGGGCAAGAAATGCATGCATTCAAAGAAAAGAGTGTGGGCAAGAAATGCATGCATTCAATCCACACGTTCCGTACCTCTACAAGACTTTTATTTCTTAATTTACAACATAAAAGGTAAGGGGAAAGGGGAAAAGATAGAAGTACTAACAAGTTGTTGATCGTAACTGCCACGGAGAAATTGAGCGAACTGCAGGAATTGAAAATGGGTCCAGTAAATTTCGTCCACCCACGATCTGCAGCTATCACAGTTTTTTTCTCCCATTGTAAGTGAAAACCACACCACAACACTCTAATATATAAAAAGGTGTAAGCTTTAACAGTTCACAAGAAGCTGAAGCTCAAAAGCAGAAGCCAGTAAGAAACAACCAACCCAGCAGAGAAGCTTGTGTTACTGTCTGGAGAAACCAAGAGTTACAAATTAGAGTTACTGCTGTTTCAAGGGTTTTGCTCCAGTAATGACCGCAATGTGTCGGACACGTGGAACCTGTCCACTTTTATCCTTATCTGTTTTTTTTCTATATATAATAAAAGGAATTATAATATAAAAGTGTATGGACCAATGTTATTAAAATCGACTCGGTCATTGACCCGGTCGAGGTACCGGGTTACTGGGTCACTGGTTCAACCAGTGAATTATTGGTTCAATCGCATGACCTGATAATTATATGTAATTTTATAATTTATATTAAAAAATTATAAACATACTCAAATATCTAAAAAAAAGATACAAATTTCAAATATTTTAATACAAAATATAATAAATCACATATTATTATCAAATAAAAATATAATGATCGTGATACGAGGCTTTAGGTTCAGAAAACGGCATCTCTAACTTTAAACTAATTCAAAATTTTATGCATAATGCATAATTGAGATAATATTAGTGTTGTAAGTACATTACTTATGTAAGTCAATAAAAAAAAAATATTCAAATATGGCTATTATGATTTTTTTTGAAAAAAACAAAAATTTGGAATTTTTTTTTTTGGGACCAGGCCGGGTCACCAGTTTTTTGTGAAAACCGGCCGGGTTAGACCGGGTCACACCGGTTCTGATGCATGGCCGGTCCGTTGCTTCAACCAGACCGGTTATATGACCGGTTTACCGGTTCCCCGGTCGACCCGGCCGGGTCGATCCGGTTTTAATAACTATGGTATGGACTCCTATCTAAAAAAAAAAGTATATGTAATACATATTTATATTTGGGATATGATCCGTTTACAAATTTTTTTTGCAATTACACTAATGTAGGACCGGTCGTACACTGTGTGATTAATGTAAGACCAGTCCTACGTAGTGTAGTTTGTAAGAGTTTGTAAACAAAAAAGTTTGTAAATATAACCTGCCCCTTTATATTTATATATGATTTTAATGTTTTTAAGGTGAATGTAAATAAGTTATTTATGTTTATTTCTAAAATGATGTCGTTTTGTATTAAAAATTATAATGAAAAATGCTATTATAACCCTGAAATAAATTATAATTATAAAAATATCTTGATTTTTGTCTCAAAACAATGTCATTTTAAACTTTAATATAAATAAATTATCTACTTAATCATAAAAAAAAGGAACCCCTTTTATATTTATATTTATATATATATATATATAAAATAAAATTATTTTCTATAACAGAATATTGATATGCATAAGAGAGCGCACAAGATTACATTCACGCGTCAATTATCGTAAGCCACAAACATATAATAAGGGAATCCAACACCATATTTTAATATAATTTATGCGTCATTCACTTAGAATTCTCAATATATATTAAGTCTAATTTATTTATTCTTTTTAATATAATTAATCATAATTTCAACTCACATTTATCCTTTTTCTTTACTTTTGATATTATAATTTCATAAAATTGAAAGAAAAAATGAATAAAATAGATGTGAATAAAAATATATATAATATCTTGTCCCAATAAAATAACATGTGATTTATAATTTAAAATAGGGTAATACTTTTCTCATTTAACATGAGAGAAGCTTTTTTTTCTACACTAATAAAAAGTGTGAAGCCCACAAGTTAAAGAAAAATAAAAAAGAAAAAAAATTACATGTACGTCTTTTTATGTCTCTGTGATATGAAATAATTATCTCCTACAATTAGAGAAAATAATTTCCCTTTAAAATAACATGTGAGCTATAATTGTTGACGTGGGTTGACCGGGTAAATTTTCTTAGTGTTGATTATGAGTTTGTGACTTTGTGTTAGGATTTTCTTTTTTGATTAATTTTTTTATTATAATATTTTAATATTTGATATAAGTCTAGTGAAATTTTTTATTTTTTATTTTTTATTTGAATAGACTGACTCGTCAAAGAATTTGTCAACTCTATGTTAAACTAATTAATAAATAATCTGAAATATAAAATATACATCATCATTTTAAAATACAAAGTATGTCATACTACAATTTATATAGTCATTTATGAGGTTTAGTTATATTTATTACTTCCTCATCCTTAACACTTTTTACTATCATTTTATTATCAAATGAACCGCTTACTCCCATCCTTCATTGTTTTTGGGTTCCCAAAAATTCAAAGCGCGTTTTTAACCATTTGATTGCACAAAATTTTCTCGCGAAATATTCAACAGGACTCACAAAACAAAATCAGAAGAGTAAATGCTGATACAAATTCACAAATAAAAATTGAACATATGTGGTGTTTGAAGAAGGGGTGCACCAAAAACAAAAAGCACTTTAAAAGAGAGGGTCTTCAAATCACGAGGCCATAATCTGACAGCATTGGGAGAGAAACAAAATGCGCCCATTTTGCTTGTAAGATTTAGTGAACTCCATGGATTAGTAAATGAGAATTTTAATGTATTTTATATCTTTAATTATTTTGATCATTCAATTTTTTAAACACCCATTTCATCATGTTTAGTTTTGTTTAACTCTTATACTAAAATAATTTTTATTGCAAATGCATTTTTAATGTTTAGGAACCCGAAAACAACGAAGGATGAGAGAGGGTGAAAATAAAAGGTGTAAAAAATTTTACTTTTTAATAAAAGGCAAAACAAAGGTAAGGAAATTATGTTAATTATACACAATGTGTAATTCATATAAGTTAATAGAATTAATTTATTAATTAATACTATATAATTAATTTATATGTAAGTAACTTTTCCTTAATTATTGTACCCAACAAAAAAACTTTTCCTTAATTACGATATGAAAACACACGGAAGGTCAAAGAGTAAAATGAAGATACTGTGTTTTTAATTAGTTGCAACTGGGGTATCAAAACGGGTCGACACGACACGAATTCGACACGACACGAATAGATCAACACTGACACGACACGAATTTTATTCGTGTCAAAATCTTCAACACTGACACGACACGAATTTTTTGCGGGTTGACACGACACGACACGAATACACGCAAAATAAGGGTCAAAATGGTAATTGAAACATGTTTTTAAAAAAAATGGATCGATATTAAAAAAAATTAAAAAAATAATAATAAAAAATTAAAAATAAAATAACTTAAAAATAATACGGGTCGACACGAACACAACACGAATTTTTTACATGTCATTTTTCTCAACACGAACACGACACGAATTTTTTTGCAGGTTAAACCGAACACAAATTTTCGTGTCGTGTCGCGGGTTGACCCGCATGTCAAAACTTATATTGACACCCCTAATTACAACAAATGAGATAAAAAGGCATTGTATACAAATCATTTAGGAATTATTAATATAGAAATTGTTCAGTTTCTGTTAGAGAAATAGAAAATAAATAATTTAACCTCACTTAATGTTTAAGTTTATTTGTACTGACGATCTTAGTTATTTTTAAATAAATCGACGCTTATATTTTTTTGGCTCTCTATCACAGCACTCTTCTCTTTTCTTTAATTAGTGTTGAATTTGTTAATGGATCTATATATTTTTATGTGAAAAAATGATATGTTATTTGGTTACAATTACTCATTGGTAATAAGATAAAGGGTTCGTTTTTTCTGCAATTATTGCAGATAAGTTATCTGCAGTAAGCCCAATACGACGTCATTTTGAGACGGAAATCATGGTGTTTTTGTAATTTTAATTTATTTCAGGGTTATAATAGTCTTTATATTTATAATTTTTTAAGATTTCAATACCAAAACAACGTCATTTTGAGAATAAATGCAGATAACTTATCTGCATTACCTGCAGAAACATTTTTCCCTAAGATAAAAGAGAGAAAAATGTATAATTTTTAAATAAATGGTTGTGATCAAATAACATAATAACCACTTCTTCACATGAGAGGATCTGCTCCCATAAATAATTAAGATCAAACATGAGATAATATGATGTGGGAATATTCCTTCCCTTATTTTACTTATTTGGTTTACAAATTTATTAACTTTAAAGGGGTGTTTGGTTTGGGTTATATTTTCAGAATGATAGATATATGGGTAGTGGGAAACTAAGAATGCACAGTTTGGTTCGCTGTCGTTCTTCATTTGCATAGGAAACGAAGATGCATAGGAAACCAAGATACATAGCATTTTGTCCTCAAAAAGCCGACCAAGGATGTCCTTTGCGTGGGTGGTTTTTACAAAAAGCAGGACAATTTCTCCACTTCATTTTTGGTGCCAAAGACGAGCGTACCCCTTCTTTGCGCGCGAAAGGACAATGTGCAGCAAAGCAATAAGCAGACTTGTCCCTCTTGTCACTTCTCCAAACACAAAAACTTTCGGTGAGGTAGAGGGAAGCATGGAAGTGAATGGGTCTGTGAAATAAAAATTCACCATCGTCTTCTTTCTGCTTTGATTTTACAGAAAGCAAAGCATCACCAGTGACATTCGTGCGCTTGTTGTGGGAGATAACTCCGTGCAACCAAAAAAAATTTTGCCTTGCTGTTTTTGGGTGCTTTCCAGAGAAAGAGTGGCTTTTTCCTTTCGTGGATGGTTGTAGAATTTAATTTGTCATATTGCATGTAGGTGGAATCAGGTTCTCAGGTGTTCAACTTCAGGATTTGTCCTTCCGGTAAGTCTCTGTTTGGTTTCTTTAATACTGTATCTTCTGATAGTATAGCACCCAAAAACATCTCTGAGTTGCATCCCTGTTTGTTCTATATCTTATTATTTAGTGTGCCAAAGGACTGGTGTTTAACAGACATAAGAAATGTCTGTTAAAAAAAGTGAGACAACCACTTAACTGAACCACAAAGAATTGATTGAAGCACAAGGCTCCATAATAGTTCAGGAAATTGTGCCTGTGCTGATTTATTTTTTCTTTCGCTGGTATTTTAAAAATGAGGAAGTCTCCTTTTATAATCTGTTAACTCAGGTTCAGTTTAAAAATAACTATAGAAGAGAAGGAAGGTTGCTGATAGGTGAAATTGTAGTTAGTTGTTTTACTTGTTTGATACCAATTCACAGTCATGAAATTGTAGAAGAGAAGTAAGTCTCCTTTTGGTTGGAGCTCCTTAGATGAAATAACAAGATATCAGGTTGAAGAATCTTTAAAAAATATCTTCTCCCTGAATACCAAAAAAAAAAAGTGATTCTCCCAATGATGTAAACCATTTATGTGGAGTTTGGTCATTTGTTTGAACCTAGAGCTTCCTCAAACCATTCATTGCTGCTCAGTAAAACTGAACAATTGGGAGTATATGGTAGAGTGAGTTATTTTTGTTGTTCTACGCCTTATAGTGGGAGATATGCCTTTTGATAAAGCAGAGGACAAATTGCTTTGGAATATTTTGAAGAATGTAAAGTTAAAAACAAATATTTTATTTTCTATACCTTGATAAAGAATACATATTTTCTATGCCTTTTAAAGTATCACATATTATAATTTGAGGTAAAACAGACTTGCATGTATAAAGAATACACTGAGTAATATTCCTTTTCAGTAACCAATTTAAGGATTTGGATTGTAATAGTGTGAACTAACTTCATGATGTAATTATTATGATATGCCTTCAAATTTAATTTACTAATTTGTAGTTTCCCTGATTTGCCCTGGTGTTGGTGATAATTTTGTTGTTGTTAACTGATTTATTTTGTCCCTTTCATGTTAGATCATGGCCTTGGGGGATGAAATGGACTTTAATTTCGTTCTAGCACTAATTATGAATTTCCAGTGTTTGAATCAGTTGACGATGTTGTTAGTCAATCTGTGTGCTTTGTTAATACGGCACACTCAAACCACGAGACCTAAAAGGAGGAGAGTAACCTTGGATCATTGCGGCAGGGCTAGGGTTAGGGAAGTTAACTTCCTTAGAATAGTTCATATAAGTGACACTACTTGCATTGAGAATACAAGGATGGACAGAAGGTGTTTCCATAAATTGTGTGAATTGGTCAAAACAGTTGGGAAGCTTCAACCAACTTCGCATATGGGTGTGGAAGAAATGGTCGCAATATTCCTGCACATATTGGCCCATGATGTTAAGAATAGGATTATAAAAAGACAATTCATGAGGTCCGGTGAAACCATCAGTAGGCAGTTCTCAAATGTTTTACTCGTTGTGTTACGATGTCATACTGTTTTGTTGAAAAGGCCTGAGCCGGTTGCGGAAACATCGACTGATAAAAGATGGAAGTGGTTCAAGGTAACAAACCTGTTTAGGCACTAGTTGGAATATGTTTCTTACATTCACCTATATGCATGTAATATTGTTTTTTAATTTTGTGATCAAAAAATACTAGAATTGTCTGGGCGCTCTTGATGGGACACACATAAAGATAAATCCCTTGCAAGCTGACAAGCCAAGATACCGTACTAAGAAGGGTGACATAGCAACAAATGTGTTAGGGGTTTGTTCTCAGGACGGTCAGTTCATTTTTGTAATGCCTGGATGGGAGGGGTCAGCCGCAGATTCAAGGGTGTTAAGAGATGCAATTTCGTGGCCGCTCAGTTTAAGGGTGCCAAAAGGTACTGAATTTACCATGTCTACTTGTTTTTAATCTGTCCATTATGATGAAATAATAAGTAACTACTTTGTTGTTTCTATGATTTCTGTTTGTGTAGGTTATTATTACTTGTGTGATGCTGGATACATGAACGGTGAAGGGTTCCTGACACCATATAAAGGACAACGATATCATCTCACTGAATGGAGGCACGAGCCTCAACCAAGGACACCACAAGAATTTTTTAATATGAAGCACTCATCTGCAAGGAATGTCATAGAGCGATGTTTTGGGATGCTGAAGGGGCGTCGGGCAATTGTAAGATCAAAGTCATTTTATCCGGTTAAGACGCAATGCAGGATTATAACAGCTTGTTGCCTGCTTCATAACCACATAAGAAGAGAAATGACAATGGACCCTTTACAAGCTGATGACGTGAACATGCAGCAAGGTGAAGATGACATCATTGATGGCAATAAAATGATTACTCACGTTGAGTCTTCGAATGCATGGACACTTTGGAGGGATGAACTAGCGCAAAATATGTTTAACACTTGGAGGAGTCGTGCTTGAGTTTGAGTCTTTTTAAGTAGTCTTTGCTGATTAATGTTCCTCGGATATTATGTAGTCTTTATTTGGTTTAGGAAACTGTTACTATAGGGAAATTCTATCTTGTATAATTACTTGTATTGACAGCCTATTATGTCTCATGTATGAGTTAATCATTGTGTGGTTGAATTAGCGTATATGACCATTTATATCTGTATCTTCATTGTATGCATAAGTTATAAGTTATGCTGAAAAGAACTAGTAATCTTTCTTTCTGTTCATTTTGTTTAGGCATTGCAGATATTGGCTTAGATTCATTCACATTATGGCAGAAGGTAGTCAGCAATCACAAAAGAGAAGTAATCATACGTGGACCGCTGAAGAGGACAAAGTCCTCGTTGAATGTCTATCCGAGATTGGATCATGTTGGAGGGGAGATAATGGATTTAAGGCTGGATATTCCAATGCAGTGGAGAAGATGATGCACCACAGGATCCCTGGTTGTACCCTCCGATCAATTCCTCACATCACTTCAAGGGTTAAGTTGCTCAAAAAACAATATAATGTTATTCATGATATGGTTGGAGGAAACGGTGGTTCCGACTTTGGTTGGAATGATGCAAAAAAAATGATTGATGTGGAGAAGGAAATTTTCGATGACTGGGCGAAGGTGATATATTTATTTTTAAAGCATTGCATTTTTTAACACTATTTTATACATTACACTATATATAATGCAGAACATGTACTATTCGTGCAGAGCCACCCTACTGCAAAGGGTCTATACAACAAGCCATTCCCTCACTATGAAGCTTTGGGGATTATATTTGGCAAGGATGTGGCTAGTGGTGGTAATGTAGAGTTCCCGCAAAAATCAGTGAACCATTTGGAACGAGACCATGCTTTTGTTGATGAGAGTGGAACTGTATTTGATGAATACCTAGACCTGTCAGGAGACTACATACCCGCACCATTCCAGGAATCTGCCCAGCCTGACATTGCAACTGAAAACCCAATCGAAGACGCTTCAGCAGTCGCAGTCAATGTCAGAAAAGGAAAGAAAAGACAAAGGACCCCTGATCCTGTAGTTGTAGAAACTCTTAGTGTCATGAACAAGATTTCCCAAAGTTACCAGAAAACTACTGATACCATGGACAAGTTGGCAGCGTGCTTTGAACAACAGCAAGCAGTAGGCAACATGAGGATGTCTATTATGACCGAGCTTGAAAAATTCGAAGGTCTAACTGTGCCTCAGATGGTTCACGTTGCTGTGAAATTGGGTAAAGATAGCAATTTAACGGACATCTTCATGCAATGCAACGTTGGTGCAAGGCAATGCCTGATGTCTGGGTTGTTGTCTGATTACATCTAATAAAAGACAGCCGTATTTTTTGGTCCAGTTGGGATATTTTGTTACAGCCTCGCTGTGTTATATTTAAGGTATTACTATATTTTGGTAACCTAAACCTTGTAACTACCGTGCTGCTTATAATGGTACCCACATGGCTGCAGTAGAGTCACATAGAGCATCATCTAACAAGGGTCATATGGTAATGGTAAGAAACAATCTGCATCCATGTAAGATTTTAGCTACCAATGCATGTAAGATTTTGTCTTTTGGAATGGGTATTAAGTTTCTGATTTATGTATAAGCATCCATCTAATTGTACTGCATCTGTTTTGTTCCCAGGCCTTTGGTGACTTCGTTTTGGGGGCTTGAAGACAGATTGCAATGGGTATTAAGTTATAACCCATATTTAGAAGACAGATTGGGTGTACAATTCATTCAGACTTGGGGGAATTGTAATTTCAATCTGCACTTTCCATCTGTAAGTGCTGAGTACTAGCATTGATCAATAATGTCTTGTATGCATCCTCATGGACTGATTGCGATTTATTGTCAACAGGTTGTCATGTTTGGCATCATTGAGCATCGTCAAACTAAGATCCATGTCTTTACTGTCAAGCCATCATGTCTACTATCTTGGCTGTAGGGTGTATGAAATGTGTTTTTGGGTGATGAAGTCAGATTTTGTTTATCTTCTGGAATCAAGGCAGTGTGATTTCATGGATATAATATTGTCCTATTTCTTATGTAGTCTAAATTGTGTAAGTTAATATAGGACATGTGATATGTAAACAAGGTTCAAGTCACTTGTCCTTGACAGTCTGTACCCAAATCCTCTTTGATCTTTTATTTAGTAAGATGGTTATCAACATGAAAACGGTTTTTAATATGTAAGTTATGGTAATACTGTTACTATATTAATGCAACATTTTCTTCCCTGTTTGTGCTTGCTGCCTATTATGAATGAGTAATATCAAACAGAATTAAGTTGGTTTATTATTTCAATCCAGTAAAAGAATGCACAGCAACACTTCTCAATGAACAGCAACACTACTCACTATATTGAATATTCGATAACTGAGGATATAATCCTCTTACAACATTAGCAAGGAAGTAATAACATGATTCAAAGTACACTATTAGGACTGTGTCCTTTACAATCCGAATGACAAGCAGCAACAATTAATTTTTTATGGGGCTGTGAAATCCTTATAACCCTCTATCTTCTGCTTAAGTGGGTCATGATTTGTGGCCCGTACCCTCTTCGTCATCTCCTACCCATAAGAAGCTTTCAATTTGGTTGCATTCAGTTTCTAATTAGAAGAGTCCAAGTCATGCGTCTCCTAACCTGGCCAGAGGAGAAGGAATGGAGCCATCTGATTCAGTGAGCAGTGGTGGTTTAGATGTTGTTTCTGATTCAGCAAGGCGTGATTCAGGGTCTAGCTCTTCGAGGGATCCTGAAGTGGAAGAAGAATATCAGATACAATTGGCTTTAGAGCTGAGTGCAAAGGAGGATCCTGAGGCTGTGCGGATTGAAGCTATTAAGCAGATCAGTTTGGGATATTGTGACCTTGATTCAAAGTACACTAGTGGCGATGGGACTGAGCATTCCAAGTGCTGCAACAGCAATTCCATACATGGCAGCAAGGCTGAAGCTTATATAGATAGCAACAGCAATAGCAAGACTGTAAATGCTCACTGATTTATATCCCAGTGCCAAACCAAAAATCACATTTGTTGCAGCGCCAGTCCTGCAGGAATCTGTGCAAGTTATAATTTGCATCATGAGATTGAGAAGGCAGCTCACTTGTAAGCATTGCTAGTGTAGTACTCAATAATATACCAATTACAAGTCCAGCCCATAAGGCAATTGCAACACAGAAGTTGAGGTGCCTGTAATTATGTAATTCATATGATTACAATTGAATCACATAAAGACAAAGCAATCTACACATGCAGGCAAAAGAAGGAGGTTAATTGAAAATCGGTCATACCAGTTTTTGACAACCTTGTTGGTTCCAAAGTTATAGAGGATGAATTCTGATGGCAAAGCAAAGAAGGTGACTATGGCAATACCAGCAGTCCATAAGATTGTAGAGATAAGAAGCTGCCGTTTCAAGGATGGTTCTATTTGGCTCTCATTTTTTATTTCAAACAGATCAGTTGCAAAAAGAGTAGTAATCAATCAAACCAAAGTCTGTACCCATTGAGCTTATGATAAGAGGATAAGACATAGTCGTGTAGTCTTGATTCAGTCCAAACGAGGATATGCAACATTGTCTCCTACATTGTCTGCAATAACCTGAAAAGATTCAGAAAATTTAGTGACTAGAAATAGAACATATATTCATTATAGTTCAAAATGATAAAATGATGACTTCAGTTTTTCAGAAATTGTGCATCAGAGACACAAGATTTATAACTAGAAAAGGAATATTCAATAGAAGATAAGAAAATTGTGTGCATGGAATGACAACTTATCAACCATGAAAATCTTCCAAAACTTCCACAACAAATAGGACTTTTTGATGATGAATGGAAATGATTACTAAGAAAGGAATAAAAGTAAATACAGCTGCTAGTATTCCCATTAAACTTCCACAGAAAGGTTGCATGAGACAACCAGATGAGTCTCCCATGTTTCTCTGCAACATCCAAAATAATATATTGTTCCATATTTTGTGTAAATATCATCCTCGACAATAAATAGAAATCACCAAGCTCAGTCAAGTTTGCAACAACAGAGTTCTTAAATAACAACTCCTGCTTTTCCCACTTCTAGTTGTCACTCCACAGCAACAAGTCCTGCTTCTAGAACTCAAAGCTATGCAACTGCCAACCTAAGTGAAAAACCAATTAATTTCACACCCTGGAGTTTTACTGAACATTGGTTTCATTGTGATGTTGTGTTTAAGTGTGGGGGTTTGCCCGAGACGGACAAAAGTTTAAGTGTGGGGGGTGACATATGTGGTTGTACTTATGTGGTTTTTCTTCAAAAACAAAAAACAAAAAACACAAAAAAAAAAAAAAAAAAAAACAAAAACAAAAACAACAAAAAAAAAAACAAAAAAACCACATAAGTACAACCACATATGTTGAATGCATTCTTGGGGAGGGGGCTGAACCTTTAGCCATCACTGTTCCCCCGCACTCCGGATTAGTCCCATAGCCAGCTCAAAGAGTCGAAGCTCGTGGGGATACTGGAGGGAGCCAACTCGTCTCAAAGAGATAATTAGGGTTGGGTAACTCCAAAAAAAACAAAAAAACAAAACAAAACAAAAATGTTTATCTTTTCAGTATCTTTGTTTTATGTTCTTAGTTTAGTTCTTAACTTTTGCTCTTTGTAAAATTCTGGGGTGTTTAGCTTTCTCTTCCATATTCATCCATACCTTTACCTCAGCCCCATTACAACCCTGCATAAAGCCTTCTTGATTTGTGCATGCATGTGTTATTAGCAGTGGAGAAGTAGAATTTAAGCAAGCCTATGGTAGGATGATTTTCTGGAGTTGATTTGAGTGATATACTAAATTAACTGATACACCTCAGAGAAAATCGAGGGCATCCTGTGAGGAACCATTTTTGTGTAATTAGCAGTTGCAGTTGAAATTGGCAAGTCTTGTGATTTGAGATTAAGAAATTTTTGTCCTGGTTGTTTTATCTGTTCAAGACTTGTGAT